TGTCAGCTGTGAGGTGGGAGCAAGGGGTAGGGGGCACGGCGCTGGTCCCAGCATCTGGCAGGGCAGAGCGAGATGCCCTTAGGGAGCGTTGCCCACACGCTGCAGGGCGAGGTGCCTGCGCTCTCGGGGCCGAGCCAGGTGACCCACGGAGGTGGAAGGCAGCAAAGCTTTTCCAGACCCGCAGCCAAGTCCAGGAGTGCAGGGACACTGCGGCAGCTGAACCCAGATTTCCTGAGCCAGCTCCCAGTGCCCTGGCCCCGAGGCCTTGGCAAGTTGTGTGCTCCAGCAGCAGGTCACGAGAGCACCTTGTCCCATAGTAACTGTACCTCCTCTTCCTGTTTGAAGTGATAAACGAGCTGGACGGCCTGGCCAAGGGCCCGGAGATGGAGCACCGGGCTGCAGGCTATGCCCGCCAAGTGCAGGAGAGAGCCAGGAAGTCCATCGAGTTCCTGGAGGAGCGGTTCGAGAGCCGAGACAACTGCTTGAGGGCTCTGACCAGCCGAGGCAACGAGCTGGAGTCCATCTCCTTCCGCAGCGAAGACACCACCGGCCAGCAGGTAAGGGTCGTCCCGGCCCCAGAAGGACGGGGCACAGAGGTAGTGGTCCCGAGGGCTGGAGCTCTTTGCCACTGCCTCCATGGGGAAACCAGGGACCCTGGGGTCTGCGAGCTCTGGGCAGGGGTAGCTGCGTCCCCACCTTTGCGGGTGGCTGAGCAGGCTCCTCTGGGCTGCCTGTGTTTCAGCTCTGAGCAGCCCTGCTCTCCGCCGAGCTGTGGCAGTGTCTCAAGGGCAGGGCAGAAACCAGGGTGGCGGGGTTGCAGGGTTGTATTCCTGCCAGGGGGTAACGTTGCCCTTTTCTTCCAGGGAAACAACGACGACCTGATTCTGTCCTGCTGCCTCCACTACTGCAATGACAAGGCCAAGGATTTTATGCCCTCCAACAAAGGTGAAACATCCTTGTGTCCTCCTTGTCCCTTCTCTCTTGCATCCCACGGACCCTTCTCATTTCTCTTTCATGGCCCTGGGAGCCAATCCCTCCCACATTTTGCCTCTTTCAACACCAAGGTGCCACCTCCTGCCTCCGGTCAGCCCCAGGCTGTGGCCCTCTCACCGCGGTGCCAAATGCGCACCTCACCGTGCTGGGGATGCCCCAGCCTGTGAGAAGCTCACCCTAAATGTCCACAGAGCAATTTCAGGGTGCCGACAGCAGCGAGGAAGGGCCAGAATGAGCCTCCTCCCCGCAAGCCCTGGTGCCTCTTGGCCAGGGTCCTTTTCCCTCCCGATGCTTGGTTGGCATTGGCCACGTGTGCAGGGACCAGACAGCCCCCGAGCTGTTGCCAGGGCAGTGGGGATGGGAATCGCATCAGCAGCTGCCCAAGAAATCAACCCGCATTTGTCAGCACGAATTCTTAGCAGCTTAACTTGTCAGATTCACAGAGAAACCGTCACCAAATGTTTATGTGCAAATGATGCTGAATTTTGAAATCATGTGGATTATGGGGAATGGGGCCTGACAAGCTGACAGCCTCTGGTTTGTAACAAGGAGGCGCGTCACCAGCGCGGAGCAGAGGATGTTTATTGTTACACATTTCTTAAAGTGTCCGCGCAGAACCTCCCAATCCCACTTTCGGCAGCCCTCAGCCCCGGGCCTGCCATCCCGCCGAGTCCCCGATCCCCGTCCTCCTGGCGCGGGCCAGAACCGGGCTCGCTCCGCCATCCTCAGCCCCGACACCGTGACCGTAGCCCGCGTTCCTGGCCAGGCTCCCCTTCCCCTCGTCCTGCCGCTCCCCGCGCAGCCAATCTGGGCCCATGTTGGGCTCCCATAAACTCTGTTTTTTCCATTCCCGTCCTGGCTCGGAGGCACTGTGTTTCCTGTGCTCATAGGAACAGTACTCTGGTCACAGGACCCAGCTGCTTACACATACCCCATATGCTTCCCCTGCTTCGCACACACGTAAGCGTGGCTCCCACATCCCAGCCCGGCACATTGCGTGCGGGGCAGCTCATCCATCTGGGGGCAAGATCCCTTCGGTTATTTCTCAGGCTTCAACTCTGGCTGTCTGAGCCCCAGCCAGAAACGCCTCGGTGTCAGTGGCGTCTCCAAAAAGCTTCGCGAAAAATAAGGGGTTGGTTTTAGATCTTGTAATGAGATCACCAGAATAATAGCACCAGCTTCCTGCTGGAGCCAGGGTCGCGGGCCGTCTTCCTGGCCTGGGTCAGGCAGAGGGACCTCTTCTTCCCTGCCTGCGCTGCGGCACATCACCCTGTGCGGGCAGCGGGCAGCACGGGGGCCCCGGCACTGCTCGCCAGCCTTCCCAGCCGTCGGGCT